TATCTGATATAAGTTACTGTTGGTAACAGGTGAGTTATCTGATAAGTTACTACTGGTAAATGGTGAATTATCTGATATAAGTCACTGCTGGTATCAGGTGAGTTATCTGATATAAGTTACTGTTGGTATCAGGTGAGTTATCTGATGTACGTTACTGCTGGTAACAGGTGAGTTCTCTGATATACGTTACTACTAGTAACTGGTGAATTATCTGATATAAGTTACTGCTGGTGTAAGGTGAGTTGTCTGACACAAGTTACTACTGGTAACAGGTGAGTTCTCTGATATACGTAACTACTAGTAACTGGTGAGTTATCTGATATAAGTTACTGCTGGTGTAAGGTGAGTTGTCTGAAACAAGTTACTACTGGTAACAGGTGAGTTCTCTGATATAAGTTACTACTGGTAACTGGTGAGTTATCTGATATAAGTTACTGCTGGTGTAAGGTGAGTTGTCTGACACAAGATACTGCTGGTATCAGGTGAGTTATCTGATGTACGTTACTGTTGGTATCAGGTGAGTTATCTGATGTACGTTATTACTGGTAACAGATGAGTTATCTAATAAGTTACTACTGGTAACTGGTGAGTTATCTGATATAAGTTACTGCTGGTGTAAGGTGAGCTACCTGATATAAGTTACTGCTGGTGTAAGGTGAGTTATCTGATATAAGTTACTGCTGGTATCAGGTGAGTTGTCTGATGTACGTTACTGCTGGTAATAGGTGAGTAATCTGATAAGTTACTACTGGTAACAGGCGAGTTATCTGATATAAGTTACTGCTGGTGTAAGGTGAGTTATCTGATATAAGTTACTGCTGGTATCAGGTGAGTTGTCTGATGTACGTTACTGCTGGTAACAGGTGAGTAATCTGATGTACGTTACTGCTGGTAATAGGTGAGTAATCTGATAAGTTACTACTGGTAACAGGCGAGTTATCTGATATAAGTTACTGCTGGTGTAAGGTGAGTTATCTGATATAAGTTACTGCTGGTATCAGGTGAGTTGTCTGATGTACATTACTGCTGGACCTATTTTCATTTTCATTATATCTATTAATACATTTGCACACATTTCAACAAAATCTGCTAATAACAGACTGAACAGCTCAACCCCCTCAAGTGAAAAGTATTTAACAAACACTTGAAACAAGGTTTTCCAAGTTTATACAAAGGTAGAAAAAACACACTTGTTTCTTCTGAACTCAACCATATTTAATCATAAATACACTAAAGTTAAAAAAATAATCTCTCATCAATAAAGTTGATAAATCCTCTTCATATGAACTTAATTAAAGGTGATATTCACGTTAAATACATTTGTGTTCAGCTTCTGTCAGTTGTTTCCTATATTTCTTGGAACATGCACTTATACAGAACTGGTTGTAAGTCTTGCTATAGCTTGACCACTGTGTCCTTTACCTGTTGCTGTACACACACACACTCATGATAAAAATCTCTACATGTTATTATTCTGTACATAATCTTAGTTTTCATTCTAACATAGGGTGAGAAATCACATCAAGTTAAACAAACCACTTTAACAAAAAACTATTTTTAACTTGTGAAGAAAGAGCTTAAAGCACAGTTAACAGTTTTACAACAGTAGCAATAAATATATACTACTTACCACATGCTACCAGTCAGTATAAAGTAGCAACATTAGTACTAAATATATGCTACTTACCACATGCTACCTGTCAGTATAAAATAGCAACAGTAGTACTAAATATATACTACTTACCACATGCTACATGTCAGTATAAAGTAGCAACAGTAGTACTAAATATATACTACTTACCACATGCTACCTGTCAGTATAAAGTAGCAACAGTAGTACTAAATATATACTACTTACCACATGCTACATGTCAGTATAAAGTAGCAACAATAGTACTAAATATATACTACTTACCACATGCTACTGTCAGTATAAAGTAGCAACAATAGTACTAATTATATACTACTTACCACATGCTACCTGTCATTATAAAGTAGCAACAGTAGTACTAATTATATACTACTTACCACATGCTACCTGTCAGTATAAAGTAGCAACATAGTACTAAATATATACTACTTACCATACTTTATACTGACAGGTAGCATGGCAACAGTAGTACTAAATATATACTACTTACCACATGCTACCTGTCATTATAAAGTAGCAACAGTAGTACTAAATATATACTACTTACCACATGCTACCTGTCAGTATAAAGTAGCAACAATAGTACTAAATATATACTACTTACCACATGCTACATGTCAGTATAAAGTAGCAACAATAGTACTAAATATATACTACTTACCACATGCTACTTGTCAGTATAAAGTAGCAACAATAGTACTAATTATATACTACTTACCACATGCTACCTGTCATTATAAAGTAGCAACAGTAGTACTAATTATATACTACTTACCACATGCTACCTATCAGTATAAAGTAGCAACAGTAGTACTAATTATATACTACTTACCACATGCTACCTGTCAGTATAAAGTAGCAACATTAGTACTAATTATATACTACTTACCACATGCTACCTATCAGTATAAAGTAGCAACAGTAGTACTAATTATATCCTACTTACCATACTTTATACTGACAGGTAGCATGGCAACAATAGTACTAAATATATACTACTTACCAGATGCTACCTGTCAGTATAAAGTATAATTATATACTACTTACCACATGCTACCTGTCAGTATAAAGTAGCAACAATAGTACTAATTATATACTACTTACCACATGCTACCTGTCAGTATAAAGTAGCAACAATAGTACTAATTATATACTACTTACCACATGCTACCTGTCAATATAAAGTAGCAACATTAGTACTAAATATATACTACTTACCAGATGCTACCAGTCAGTATAAAGTAGCAGCATTAGTATTAAATATATACTACTTACCACATGCTATCAGTCAGTATAAAGTAGCAACAGTAGTACTAAATATATACTACTTACCAGATGCTACCTATCAGTATAAAGTAGCAACAGTAGTATTAAATATATACTACTCTACCACATGCTACCTGTCAGTATAAAGTAGCAACATTAGTACTAAATATATACTACTCTACCACATGCTACCTGTCAGTATAAAGTAGCAACAGTAGTATTAAATACATACTACTTACCACATGCTACCTGTCAGTATGAAATGGCGATAACAGTACTAGATATTAAATTTCAACTACTTACTGGACACGGTAAATTTCTTTCCATGTGTTCTGGGCTTGTTCCATTTGTTGTTGTTTTTTTTCTTTTTTTTCACAAAACTTATGTGTTTCTTTCAAACTAATATTAATATACCATTTGTTTCAAAACTAATAATTATTTCCAAGTCAAGCAGGCTTAAGTACTTGAGTTAGTTAAGTTAACTGAAAAATAAGTAAATAAATCCAACCATATATTCATGTTAAGGATGTTGAAGAAAACAGTATCATAATATAATATATATAACATTTATAATATGTATATATATATGTATATGAATCATTATATATATATATATATATAGCTGTATAGAAATTCACAAGATATATATCTGTACATGCATATGTGTATTCACAGCTCAACAGATATTAAAAAATCCACTATTACAGATATGCAACCCTCCAGCCAAATTTGAATTTTCTATGGATGGATTAGATTTTCAAAACCTTTATTAAGTTGTGAGAACACACTGGAACTTAAGATATAAAAAGAGTAAAACACAAAACATGTTTATGTTTTATAATGGCTGGAGACGGGTTGACTGGGTAATGAAGAAAAACTTT